ACCTCCCCCAGCAGAAATGACCAACACAAGGAAATCTCAAAGCCTTCAAACAGCAGAATAAAAATTGTTTCAAACTCCCCATCCACATGAGCCATATTGTTATCAGATATAAGTCAGAATTGCAGAATATTTCACGTGTGAGTCTATTCCAGGTAATGCTAGTGAAATGTTAACCAACCCACAACTTGTGATAACTTAAGGTGGTTATGGCTCTAGTTTTACATTCTTGTGAGCAAATATTCAGATATCAAAATCATACTTGTCCAAAGAAGAAAATCATTCTGTGACAAGCCAAATCTAAGTTCTTTTTTAAGGAGGAACATTCCTCTTTTTCTTCAGGGGCACATTTACTAATCCAAACATTCAATATCACAGTTTGTATGTCAACCTTCCTTATTTTCACAATTATTTATTGAGTGATGATTATGTGCTAAGTCTCCAATGGACAATTCATCTTAATTTTAAAAATGCACAGAGATATGCAATTGCAAAGAGTGATGCGTGTATTTTAAGAAAATTACAAAGAGCTTCTATTGCTGCAGAGTACCTTTTGGATAGGCGGAGGGCAGATAGAGAAGGCGCCTCCAAGGAACTGCGAATCAAGCTGAAATATAAACTGTAAGCAGATATTTAGATAGGTGAAGGGGAAATAGCACTGTAGGAAGAGGGAGTACTACATCCAAAGGTTTTGGCATGCAGGGTAAAGAGGTGGGGGGTGGGGTGGGATCTGAAAGAAGACTCATTTTTCTGGCTCTCAGCAAGAGGGAGGCAGCACAACTTAAAGTTAAACTGGGGGTTGGCAGGATGCTGGGCCTTGGCAGCCACGTGCAGAATTTGATCTTTATCCTGAAAATGGAAGTCACTTGCCTCTGTAGAGCTTACCTATCAGGACTGAGATCACTTATGTCAATGTGATTTAACCATTTGTTTCAGGAGATTCTTGCTCAGAAAGTTAAGACTGTAAATCAATGAACAACTTTCCTGTTTGCTTTAGCAAATTCCTGCCAGCCAATTTATCCAGACAAACTCTTGACTTGTCTCTTCTCCCATCAGGACAAGAGACTGCCTCACCTGCAGAAACAGCTTGCTTTTCACACAGCAGCTTATTCATCAGGGCATGGGTCAAGATTCTCATCTGGCTGTGCCCACCAGTTCTCCACTAGGACATGATGAACTGTGTCCCAATCAGTTTGCCTTGAAAGACCCCCCGTAGGCCCCTTGAGCACAGACCGGAAGCCTGTAATATCCTCCTCCAACCTCTCCCTTTTGAGACACCAAGAAGAGTCTTTCAAGGCAATGCTCTCCCACACTCAATGGGGCTAATTAACTTAGCTTTGCTTGACCAACAGGCCTGCTGATGGTCTTCTGCAAAGTTGGCAGTTGTCAATCCTAAAAGGAAGTTTCCAAGAAAGTGAGAGAGGGGATCCGTTTTGTGTTTTAATCAGGTTGCAGTTTGATGAGGAGATTGGACCATGCCCCAAAGCACTGTCTGGATGCAGTAAGGAGGCTGTTGTCCAGGCCAAAAGTATATGATACTATTCTTAATTCTTTATTTCTCCTTGAACAGTCCACTCCATTAGCCAACCCATCAACTCTACCTTTAATACTGAGCCTCTTCCTTCACTACAACCCTAGTGTATAAACTTTCATTATTTTTTGTTCAAACAACTGCAATCGCCTCCTATTTGGTCACCCTGAGTACGCACTTGCCAACATACCTCCTACTCTCCAAACAGTATTCCCAGTGATCCTTCTAAAATGTAAAGTTGGGAATGCAAACTGGTGCAGCCACTGTAGAAAACAGTATGGGGTTTCCTCAAAACATTAAAACAGGAACTGCCTTTTGACCCAGAGATCCCACTTCTGGGAACTGTCCGAAGAAACCTGAAACACTAATTCCAAAGAGTACTTGCACTCCTATGATTATCGCAGCATTATTTACAATAGCCAAGATTTGGAAACAGCTCAAGTGCCCAACAGTAGATGAGTGGATAAAAAAACTGTGGTTCATTTTACACAATGGAATACTATTCGGCCATTTAAAAACAAAACAAAGCAACAAAGAAAATCTTACCTTTTGTGATGGCACGGGTGGACCTGGAGATTATTATGCTAAGTGAAACAAGCCAATCAGAGAAAGACAAATACCATATGACCTCACTTAAATGTGGAATCTAGTGAACAAAATAATCTGATGAACAAAATAGAAACAGAGGCATAGATACATGGAACAGACTGACAGCTATCAGAGGGGAAGGGTGTTGAGGGGCTTGATGAAAGGTGAATGGATTAAAAGAAACATATATACATAACCTATAGACACAAAATGTGGTGATAGCCAGAGGGAAAGGGGGTGGGGGAGAGGTGGAAGTGGGCCAAGGGCGGGGGGAATGGGGAAGGAAAGTGACTTTGGAGCAATGGGCCCAGGACACAGTGTATAGATGATACTTTGTTGAGTTGTACACTTGAAACCTGTATGGTTTTGTGAGCCAATGACACCCCAGTAAATTCAATTAAAAAATAAATAAAATATAAGTTGAATCATTCAATACCTTCTTCAGATTCTCTAATGTGTTTCCATCTAACAAGTCCCCACCTACAAGGCCCAGTGTACTGACCCCCAGATATTTCTTTGACTTCATCACCCACCATTCACCCCATGATTCCCTCTGCGCGAGCCGTGCTTACCTCCATGCTTGTCTTCGGAAGTACCATGCGTGTAGCTCCCTGGGCCTGCAGCTCACCATGCCCTCCACCTGGAACACCCTTCCCCCAGATACCCAATGATTCTCTCCTTTACTTTCTTAGTCTCCATTTAAATGGTACTTTACAGAGAGACCCTGCCTAACCCACTTTTCCCCAATAGCACACCCCGCTCTCACTTTCAAAATACTTACTACCACCTGACCTGTTACATACTTACTTGTTGACTGTCTGCCCCAAGTAGGTTAAAAGCTTCAGAAGAACAGGGACTTTTTCTATTTCATTCACTGCACACATACAAATACCTATCCCAGCACCGAACTAACTGCCTGGAATATGGTAGCACCACTATCAATATGTTTAATGAGTGAATGAATTATAATTAACCTTTTATACAAAAATCATTCTTGACCATTCAGTCAATACCTGATTGTGCTGTACATCTTGACATTTAAAGAACCAAATGGAAATTTCAAACTACCTGGTAGCAGCTGCTTTTTAATTGATCAAGGAACTTGCATCTCTCACATGACACGCAGCTGAGGCTGAGCTGTGGCTACTGAGTTTCCGTCCCTACCTTGCCCAGGAGAAGAAAAAGGTCTAAATAAGAGGCAAGTCCACACTTTGCTACAGCTGCTGTTGCCATTTAATTCAAGGTGTGAACAACTAAAAACAGCTGGCAACCTACTCAATTGTTTAGCTAAAATGCCAACGGAGCCCACATCACTTCTAAACTGTGTTGGTTTCGTTTAGTAAAAAGGAAATAACAGGAAAAGAAAACAATACTAAGTGTGTGCTAAGGTAGCTTTTTATTTCATGAGACCCAGATTACTGCAAACGTCCATTTCAGGCACATTTTATAAGGATAGTAAAACAAAAGGCAATGAGAAATGGAATGCGCACAACACAAATCCCTATCACCAGAAACGGAAGTAATTCTTTGCCCAGTGGAGATACAAAGAAACCACACACCCACAAATGGAATAAAAGCAGAGTACATACATATCTGATTTTTACTCTTCAAAATTTAAACAACACAAGTTAATGATGGAGTACCAAAGGTTAATTCATGTGTTAAGTCTAACTTTCCAGTCATTTGCTTTCCAAATTGGCGCTCTAGATTCGTAATTTTACCTAGTTGAACTCTGCAACCATACCTCTGCATTTTGCTTATTTCTCAGTTAAATAAGATTCTCCTAGATATCTAGGTGCAGGATAAGAGATAGAACTACCATCACCTACTCCCAGGGAAAATGGAGGAGGTATTTGCACTGAAAGGTTTCTAATTCCCAGATTCTCTGCCCAATATGAACCATTTAAATATCGACACTAACATTTCAAAGCCTGAGAAAGGAAATGTATCACTGTGGACTTCATTCTGCTTATTTCCTACAAGCAGAGAGCCAGCTAAGAAATGAGCCCCACAAGCCAAAAGAGGTACATAGTTAGAGACACATATATCTAGCGTCTATGCCAAACTAATGATACAATGATTTTCAGAAGTGAATTAGGATTATTGCTTTGATTTAAAGGGCCATGCAACACAGTGTTTGTTTTTATTTTTCTCTCTAAATAATTTAGGATAATGGTTAATTTCAACTTTTGAGAATAAACATTCAGCCCGCATAAAAGATATATCTTTATAAAGTAAACATCTTAAGTAGCTTCTCTTTCAAAAATAGCTCTGGTATACTTCTGACACACCTAAACATTTGTGCTACCAATGCCACAGCTATATTCTCAAAGCCTGGCTCAGGGACCACTGAAATATTCGATATTCCTTTGCTGGCAAAACATCAGAGCAATTATTCAGTCATTACGAGGTTTCAGTAAACCACTGGTTCTCAGGCCTTACCTTGTCTCAGAATCACCCGGAAAGACTCCTTACAACGCAGAAAGAAGACTGGGCGCCACTGGACGCCAGAGTTTCTGATTCAGCAGGTAGGAGGCGGGGCTAAGGATCTGCAGTTTAAACCAGTCCTCAGGTGATGCTCATGCTGCTAGTCTAGGGACTGCACTTTGAGAACCTCAGCTTTAAACTATTAACTTAGACATTCTTTAAAGTTTAAAAAGCAACAAAAGCTTTGATTCCAGGCACCACATGATATTTGCTAAACTCTCTACAATTCTCGGTCTCAGCAATAATCCTTGAGAAAATTCACTTTTCACTTCCTCTTTTACAGCAACAGTAGTGCCCAGGCAGCTAGAGTCCTGAACACCATTCGCTTAGCATTTTGGCTTTGCTGGGCCTGGAAGGGCTGTTTCCTATTTCTCATGAGAAGGCCTGTAATCGCCTATGCGCCTGTCCTCAGACATCCTGGATCTGTAACCCTCCCCAGGACAGACCCGTGCCTCTGGGGGACCAAAAGCCACAGCTACATGTCTCTGCCCAGCAGGTCTATCTCGTCCAGGAGGAAGTCCATGTCCTCCCGGCTCACTTGAGGGCTGATCACCACCTGGCGGAAGAAGTTGACCTTCCCCCGGTGGGGCTGAAAGCCCAGCATCAGGCTTCCCTTCTTCATCATTCGCTCCTTAATGGCTGGGGCCACCTGTATGGACAGAGGATGGGTGGAGGTGAAAGACCAGAGCAGCAAAGCATCACAATTCCTTTTAACCAGTCATTTGATATGTACTGGGCACCCACTGGTGTGGATCCCATTCCCCAGTACACAACAAGGTTGACATGAATAAGAATCTATTGAGAACTTATAACACATGAGGACTGATTCAGTGCTTTAAATATACCATTTCATTTAACCTTCCTAATAACCCCATGAGGGACATACTGCTATTAATATGCACATTTATAGATGAGGATATTGAGGCGCACAGATTACAAAAATAATTTACTGTGTTCAGTAAAAGGGAGAGCCAAGATTTAAAACCAGGCAGTCTCACCCAAGCCCACTCTGAAACCTACAGCATAGGCAATGCTGCCTCATTAAAACCAAATCAGGTGTCCTCCGGCATCACGGTCTCAAAAGTGTCAAATGCTATATTCCCAAATTTGTCTGAACTAAAAAAAAATACTCCAGTTCAGCCATCTTGAATTAAAAAAAAGTATAGATTGGGGGAGAAAAATCCCACAAAATAACAGCCTTGCATTGACAGTCTACCAAGAAAAACACTAATACTGGTATTATGTGTAGGTCTATTTTGAAGACTAACAGTTTATTAGTTTATTCATAGGACATATGTGAAGTGTAAACACTCTGTCTGTTATTAAGAGGTGCCGAGTTACTAATAAATTAAGAAGCCCATATTTTAAAGATTTCCAGCTAACATGGGAACGGGCCCTGATAATCTGAACGCACACACTGCTCTAAAAGTTTAAGGTTTGAAGAAATTACTTCAATTTAAGAACACATGAGAAAATGAGTCCATTTTCACGTGAGCAGTGTGACCACCCAAGAACTAACTTATAAACTTGAAAGAGTGAAGTTATTAATTTTTGAAACACCAACTTAAAAACATTAAGAGTGGCCCTAACCAGTTTGGCTCGGTGGATAGAGCATCTGCCTGCGGACTGAAGGGTCCCAGGTTCGATTCTGGTCAAGGGCATGTACCTTGGTTGTGAGCACATCCCCAGTGGGGGGTGTGCAGGAGGCAGCTGATCGATGTTTCTTTCTCATCGATGTTTCTAACTCTCTATCCCTCTCCCTTCTTCTCTGTAAAAATCAATAAAATATATTTTTTAAAAATCAATAATATATCTTAAAAAAACAAAAAAACAAAACAAAAACAAAACAAAACAAAACAAAAAAACATTAAGAGTGTGTTCTTTCTGGCTCAGAAATGCAAGCAAAGGTTTTCCATTTTCATCTTATTTTCCTGCTGTAAAAGTTTCTTGGCATGTCCTATTGAATACGTGGAAAGGAAACATAATGAGTTTCTGTCTTAATTTTCTCAGTAAGATGAGACCTAGCTAATCCATAAGGGAGGAGTACATTTATAAATAATACCAGGCACAATGTGCTTTAAAATTCCTTAGGTGATAGGCACACATGTCAGTTCTCACGAGCCTCTGTGTGACCATCCCACACCCCCCTGGTTTTAAATATACCTACATTTTGCCAGATACCCCCCTGAAAACGTGCCAAACTACTTCCTTTGACACTCCACGTAATCTTGATCTATTCCAAAGCTGATGGAAAAACTAAGGGCTTTAGACCTCTGGAGATATGATGGGTTGGGCTGAGCCACAGAGCCTTCTCAAGGGATGTTCAAGGATAATTTTAACTAAGTACACTATTCTTCATGTGCTACCTTTAGAAAATAAATCTTGCAGAACATGGGCTACAACAGGAAAAGCAAACACCCATTAAGCACAATCACATTGCTATTCTAGCAAAAGATTGGAGCTCCCTTAGTCTAATGCAGTGGTTCTCAACCTTCCTAATGCCGCGATCCTTTAATACAGTTCCTCATGTTGTGGTGACCCCCAATTTCATTGTTACAAATTGAACATAATTAAAGCATAGTGATTAATCACAAAAACAATATGTAATTATATATGTGTTTTCCGATGGTCTTAGGCGACCCCTGTGAAAAGGTCGTTCGACCCCCAAAGGGGTTGCGACCCACAGGTTGAGAACCACTGGTCTAATGGGCCACGAAAAGAAAATCTGCGAGCGTAAAAGAAAAAAAAAACAAGTAAAAAAAGATAAAGTCAGAGGTTAAGGTAGGAAGAAAATGTGAACCACCATGTCCTATAAATACCTGGAAATGTGTCACAAACTTTATTCTGAGCTTTTTAGAGATTAGAAAACCAGAGTTAAATAAACCACCTCGTATCTCTTTGCAAAATTTAGTGACAAATGTTCAGTACAAGCTGAAAGCTGAAGCTAGTAGGTAACTCTGGGAGGCCTACACATATCTGTTAGCAACACCTGACGTTGAACACTCCAAGCATCAGTTGGGTTTTCATCCAAAGCTCTTAATGCAAGTTTCAGTTGTTATTAGAATTATAAAATCTAGTGAAATTATATGTAAGCAAATGAAAGGTTAATGTCATAAAAACTAAGTTGAATCCTTTGGAAAGACTAGGTAAAGTCAGGTGTGGTAGGAGAACCGTAAAAGCTTTAAAATAAAATCTTGAGAGTCCAGGCTGGTTCTGCACACAGATGGCTACACAGGCGCCCATGCACTCACACCACTTAAAGAAACCTGAGCTGGATAGGAAAGGTGATGTCTCAAGGGTGTAGTTTATGAAAACAGTGGAGGCCCTCTAACCATCAGACCTCTACTCAGGAAAAGCCTCACTTGCTTCTGGAAAGCATTTGGAAATCTTCATTTGATGGGGGAAGTGAGGGGAGGGGTGGAGACAACCTTTCCATCAAAGGTGGGGAAATAAAGGCACATAGATAGGTGTGTTTTAAGTTAAGATGTCTAAGTGATGTATGCATCGCATGTTTTTCTAGGGTAATTTGCTTTAACTGGCCAATCCTTACCACCTTAGGTAGGAGATTTCTGGTGTGGATGTGGATGTGAGTGGTGCACATACTAGTACGTATATATGTATGTGCATGTGTGTGCACAACCCCATGTGATTAAACGTCTAACCCACCATTTGTCATTCATGGCTCTTAAAATCCTTGTTTTTGGTCACAGAGCAATGCAGAACTGTGGTGTGACTGAGGCTAATGACAAAGGCACATTTATTTTTAATGTAAAGAACAAAAGGCCTCTTGGTGTGAAGTGAAGATAGGGGAGAAAAGCACCACAGCGCCAGTGGTGATCAATATTGGGAAGCCCTGGTTCACCAGGGAAAAATGTCTGGCCAGGAAAATCAGAGACTATCAATCTTAGAGCACACAGATTGTGGTTCTGTAGATTTTTGGGGGGAAGGGCATCAAAATTCCCTTCACATTCATCCCCATCCTCCTCTAGCTACTCAGAGTATAACTGGCCCAGCGGCTTATAGCCAATTTTACATTTAAAACAGGCATGTGCTCAAAGCTAATTTGCATTGTTTATTTCTGACTACCTTTCCATACCTCTATTCTTCTCCCCAATGGTATTTCACGCCTAATTTTTGGAGAGTATTAGAATTTTGATTCCAGCTCCTGGATGTGTCAGAGGCTCACATGAGGCAATCTTCAAAATAAATCTGTTCGGATTGCATTTCTCGTAAGCAAAAATATTTTCTAATGTGAGCAAGGAAGTGTAAAAGAAAGGTGGCTCCCCCATATTTCAATATAAAGGTATTTTTTTTTAAATCTTTAAATTCTTGCTCTTGTGCAAGGCATAAGAATATTCTTCCATGGGCCAAACAATGGCATAAGAATCAAACTTCTCAGCCAAGTTTTGTCACCGACTTCCAACAATTATAAATAAATGACTGGATATCTATGTGACTCAGGGAACCAATTAAGTGAGGGTTTGACAACACCACACACATTTTATGTATGTATCCATGAATATCAGATTAATTCCTAGAGGAAATTACTCCTAGGCAGGAGGGGAAGGCCTTCCTTGTCCATGAATACTTCATGGGCAAAGAAAGACACAGCAACACCAAGGTCGATATTCATTAAATCTCTGCCACAAATTATAATTGTGGTAGCAGCAGTGGCTCTTGTTAACAAATATTGTACCAACTCCTTACAATTTGCAAACTGCCTTCACATGTCCGATCCCCGCAAACTCAAATTAAAGCTTATTTGAAAGGACCCCCGGCTTGTGCAATTTAGGGAACGAGAAGATTCTCATTGACAGGCCATGTAGGGCCTTCGTCCTTAAAAATATATCAACAACCATCTCCCATTTATAAAGCTCCAGGCACAATCCAGGGCTGGGTCATTTGAATATTTTCTTTTGCTGATCACAGCTGAGAAACAGCCTTAATCCAACAGGACGGAATATTCATTCACAGGGGAGAGGAAATATGCACAAACTAAATGTGAGTATCCAAAGAGCGTCCCTAAATGGAGCATGCATGGAGGAAAGCAATTTGGCAGGAGTGAGATTGCTTTCCGGCTCTCAATTATTTTACTGCTGCTCTTCCCTCGAATTGTAAATCAACTTCTTCTCTCATGCCTCAGTGCACTGGTCCCCGCATCGTAAGTGGAGGAGGATCCTGACATTTCTATCTGGTTGCACAGGAACCTAATCAACACATTTCTGTAGGATTGCTGCCCCTCTCCCCACCCCGTCAATAATGTTCTGGCAATGATTTAGTCATTTAAACGGAATTTTGTTGTCACACCCCTGCAGCATGAAATAGCATTTGATATTTAAAAGTTGTTCAAATCCACAGGGGAAAAAAATAAAACAATGCTCTCATTCTGGCCAAGTACAGTCATTTAATAACAAGTAACTGACCAGGCACCATAATTGCCTCTTTATCAAAATAAAATTTCAATATCCGTAAAAAGACATTTCTTTTGAAAAAATGTGTTACATATTTAATGTTAGCAGCAATGCATTTTTTTTCAATACAGAAAGTGTTTCTAAACTATCCATGAGGAAGTTGTTTTTTCCAATGCATTCCATACATACTTTCGTGAAATACCATAAAAGTAAATTACTAAATAAAACTGAATAACTA